ATGTAAATAGAAGGAATAAACAGGAAGGGAGAATGAAGTAAAGGAGAGGGGAAAAGGGAAGAAAGGGAAGAAAGAGAAGAAGGAGAAGAGGGGGAAGGAGGAAGGAGAGGGATGGGTAGCGTGGGAGCGGGTGAGGTGGGCCTGGGTGGGCCTGGGTGGACCTGGGTCAGGCAGGTGTGCTGAAGGGTTGCTTACTATTTTGGGGATGGTAATGTTCTGTTCCCCTGTTCACCTCAGGCCTCAGATATTCTGTCTAAATATAAGCTTAAATGTGCTGTATATTCAATGGGGTAGAGGTAAAAGGCTACCGGGCCTTTACAACTACTCCGAGGTATATATATGTAAATTACATATCTCGGCACAAATAAATAAAGAAATAATAGCATCACTATAATGGGAATTATAGTGAAGTAAGGTTAATCCCTTACATGTGCCCTGACACAGTTCCATGGGCAATCCCGAGTATTAGAAAGGAGAGATACAAGTAGGAATGCACAGCACCTATGTGGGGTGCCTGGCATTGGACATGTCTGTGCTACAGGTGTGAGGAAGAAGGGGGGTCATCTATATAAAGATAGAGGGAAAGAAAGGAAAGAGAGAGAGGAAAGGGAGCAGAGTGGCACGGTGCAGTGTGGCATGCCCTGACAGTGACTCCAATAAATGAAATGGAGAGATGAATGATATGATAAAAGTGTCAGGATTCCAGTGGGGGTTGGAGCAGTCCAGGGGTTCTGAAGGTTCTGGCTCAGGTCCAAGCAGCTGGGGTGGAGGTGGCTAAGGGTGCCAATGTCGAGGACTAGTCTGGAGCAGGGGCAGTGGGAGTGGAAGTGGAGTGGAACAGTGGGGAGGACTGGGACAGGGTATAGTAATGTTGAGGGTAGTGGTGTAGAAGGATGGAGTAAGGCAGGGTCAGGATTCCGGGATATGACAGATAGGGGAGACAACAACTACCAACCACCATGTCAGTGGCTGAGGTCTTCCATCACTACATCAACAGGAATCCAAGGTGGGAGTGCATGATGGGAGGTCCAGAGGTAGGGGAAGGAAGGTGAGGTGGCTGATGGGGCTTCCAACAAACAGTTAGTAGTTCCTATCATTGTCAGAATCGCACAAAGTCTCACCAATGATAGCTGTTGGCAACTATAGGCTTTTTGTTCATGGCCAAGCTTTAGCGAGGATCAACCTCACCGATCTCAAGGCCAAGGTTGCTAGGCGAGCAGGCCAGGATTTTGGCTTCAACAACTCAGGGAGGAGTGTTGCACCTTGTTCTCAATGCAGTCCTGATACTTCAGAGGCAGAGGTCTTACAGGGGACAGAGGCAAGCTAAGAGGGGTATTCTAGTTGATTTTGAACTACTGTACAAGCAATGGGTACAAGCTGTATATAAGCACTAAAGGATTGAATAGAAAATAAGTTGCCAGATCTCATGGAGATTGCAGGCAGAGAAAAGAAAAGGGAAACAAACAAACAAGCATGTGGTCAAGACAGCAAAGGTCAACCATGACCTTCACCATGAGATAAAGAAACATGGAACAAGAGGGTGCAGCACTCTGCACCGCTAGGTTGTTCAATGACAATTAGGGGAGGGAACATCAAGACATGGCAGGGAGTAGTTGGATGGTGGCAGGCAGCGAGCAGAGTGTGCAGGGAGTGTTCAGGCATGGGAAAAGGTCAGGGAGGAGGTTGTCTGGCCCCAGGGAATGCTGGGTTGTGACAATCATTTACCAAACCAACAACAGGGGTCTCTAGGAGGTGCAGACCAGAGGAGGGGTATGTGAGGTGGGAGAGAGTTGGAGTGAGAAGAAGTCTTGGGTGCATAGACATCAATCAGAGAGGGCAGAAGAGGTTTTGGCAATTGGTGGAGGCAGCATGAATTGTACAGGACTAGGGTGGAAAGTCTGGGATATGACATTAACAAAAAATGATACACAATTAATGGTTACACACCACATCATAAATGGTGATTGCTATTTTTGTGCAGGTTTTGCTTGTGCAGAGACAAGATCAGTGTTTGCTTGTATTGAAGATTACCTCCAATTCCTTTATACTTTCCTTATTTCCCCTTCAGCCCCTGTCAATATATAAATCTTTGTTTATACAGCTTTGGGTGCAAATGATTGCAATTCCAGCTTTCAGACTCACTCCAGAAAATCTGTTGTCAATTCTACAGTATTTCTGGGAGATCCATTCTAAATTTCCAGATTGCTTGAGCATCCTCCGACCCTTTGAACATCAATGCTGCCTGGACTTGTCAGCAACCAATCATTTCCATCATGTCCCATGCCATTCTAATCATGCTCCATTGTCCTGCAAATGACTCCAAACCTCACTCTTTTCCCAAATAATGTTGCACAATCCCTGTACCTTCAGTGTCCCAAATCCCAACAACTTGCAGTTCCATGCACCTTGCAATTCAACTTTAACAGCTGATGAGGAAAAACTCCTGAACCATGGTCACTTAATATGTTCCTTGACATCCACAAAGGAGTGCTCTGATGGCTGCTCTCACTCTTCTACAATGATGGGCATAGTACTAGGGTTTGCTTTTGGATTTGGGAAGACAGTCCACCACCTGGGTGAGTATCATCAGCACCCTGTGGCCAGACTGTTGCTAACCTATCCTGGGCTTCAGGCATTGGATCCTTCTCACTTCCACAGACATTCACATCTAAGTGCCAAGTCAGGGGACATGCGTGCTCATGCAGATTGCTCCGATAACCTAGTTGTGATTAAAGCTGGGGGAAAGGGATGTCCCCATCTTAGGGTCAGCTATATACATGTAGAGTCCAGCAATAAGGAAACCAAATGGATTGCCGATAGAATCACGTGATCATAGAATGTTCCAGAACAATGCCAGAGATGATCCAGGCCACCAGGGCTTAAGTAAGCGGAGTAGATGGGGATTGCCAGCATACTTCCCACATGCATATGTGCAGCCGGCATAGGGTCCAGGGTCCTGATCCCTGACATGCCATAGTCTTGAAGAGCAAAGTCACTCAATTGTGGTGTACACTGTAAATCTTCAATAAAATGTTGCCATCCATCAGGGCCCAGCCCCTGACCCCACACACCCTCAGGTACCCTTCCCCCATTTTCCCCTATTTTTCCCCTCACTATTCCACAATCCTGCACACATGCAGACCTGTGGGAAAGTTCTGGGCAAGTTACTTGCCCAGAAACCATCACAGCCACAACCATGGGGAGATTCTGGGCGAGTGGCTCACCCAGAATCTTCCCACAGGGGGGTGCCATTTATGGAAAGTCAGCAAAGAGCCGAAAACTGTATAGTTCCCAGCTCCCATTTGTAGCGGCTTCACAGGAGGTTGATGAGGTTACCCTTCTTCTCAACTCATTTCCTGTGAAGGCTGGGGCTAGCCCCCTCAGTGAGTTTGAGGATCTTGGACTGGGACTAGATATCCCAGCAACTAGGAGGATCCCCCTGGGCCCATCATGGAATGAGGGCCGGGCCCTGACACCATCTGGCATCACCATCATGTATCTACAATAAGAGTAGTGGGTAATGCTGCAGCAGGCAGTGTCCATCAATTTTAGGAGTATTAATAGAGATATGACAAGACCCATCACCTCACTAAACCTAATGTTAGGTATATATTACACTTCGAGACTCCACAATTCTAAACAGTCATCAAATAAGAGTATAGTCAAGAGTGTGACAAGAAATAAACAGTGTGCTGCTGAATACTAAACAACTTGGCTAATGTCTACAACAATTGGGGCCCGTAACTCTCCCTGTACCAGAAATCGGGTTCCATCCCTGCTGGATTGAGGGCGATAAAGCTTTAAAGGATCAGATGGTACTCGATGACCATACCAGGCTTGCTGGGAATTGATTGGTTGATAGCCCCTTGGGAGCATGAGTTCATCTCTGCCATTAAGCCACAAAGTCAATGGGAAGGGATATGAACTAGAATTGATCAGTGGGGTTCTTGTTGCAGTGGGCAAACGGCAAAGTGGAATCCTCTCCTCTGAATGGCTTGGTGAGAAATCATAAAATGGGCACCTGATCCAGGACTCATCAGACTTGCCATGTACATCAGAATGATGCACACAAGCTGTGTTGCTTTCTGCCAAGGGATGAGTGGCTTGAGTAAATATAGGATCAGGGATGAAATATGAGCATGTCAGAGGGACATTAGGATTAATAATCCAATAATTGAAGTTTGTCACCCGATAACCTGCAATGCACTGGCATGATTCTGTTGACCAGGTAACAGCCTGAGTCCCATCAAAAGCCCCAACATATTGTGCCCCTGGGGAGAAACCAAGTGTCCGACGGTGAGGAATGGCTAACTTCCTGCTATTGAATTGAGAGGATGGGAAAAAAGGAGGAGAGGCAAGGGGTTTAATGGATGGGATCTCCAAAACAGATATGAGCATCATGTTGTCATACCAAGGGTTGTCAAGATTTCGTGGGACTCGCACAACAAATAATCCATTATCTGAAGTCATGGTTCCAGCTGGATAGTAACCAGTGGGAAGAGTGCCAAGGTTCACTGGGGTCATACCATCACCAAGGACTCTCACATTTCCATTGTTATCCTCAGTGGCAACTCGGTGGCTGCCATGGACAAATTCAATCCAGGCTGGGAGATTGGCTGGATAGCATTGAAATTGGCAGATTGTGCACTGGTGTTCGATATCAGCCACTTCAATGATTCCACTGCCAAATCCAAGTGCAACATAGTGACCATCAAGGGAGAGTGCAGCACATGTCACAATGCCACTGAAAACATCAGGGTCTTGGAATTCCACCTCATAGTCAATCATGCTCTCATCTGATTCCTTGCCTGATTTGTTGACCCCCCCTTGTTCATTCAACTTTGACTGCATGATCTCTTGAGCCCTAAGCAAACCCTCACTTAATGGAATGGTACTGCCTGAGAACTCGCCAAAAGCAGAGAAGATCTGGACAGGATCAGAGAGATGGCCATATTGTTTGTAAAGGGATGATGAGGGTGGGGCAAAAGGGAGGTCTGATCGATACAGATGCCATGGTGCCCTTGCAGCAGTGAGAGCTAACTTATCCAAACCTCTTAGGAGTTGGATTAAGTTGTGATTCTATCAAAAATGGCATCAGACAAGCATTGGATGAATAGTTTAGACTTACATTAGATTGAAGAAATTTGTGAGGAAATGAGAGAGATAGTCCCATTGTCAAATGGTGTTGCAGGTGCATGAAAGTCAAGATGTGCTTTTGTGTGATGAAGGAATTAAACTCGTTCTGCAATTCATTGGACTCTTGTGAAAAAAGTTGTAAAGGGTCCAGGTGCCAGGGTAACCAATCAATAACATAGGAGAAGTGACTGCGATAATCCCACTTTTTCACCATAAATTCCCTCCATATTCTTTTATCTCCTAAAGGGGGATCCATAGGTACTCCAAATCCATCCTGCTCACAATGATTGTTGAAGAGTTGAAGGAGTGGCAATCCAATGAAATACCCTTTCACATCATCAATGAAGAATACTTGGTCCTTCTCATTGCCAATTGGTTCTCCCAGGATGAATTCTTTTGCTGTTGCATGATATAAGGTGACAAAATCAGCATCCCCTAAGGGATGATTGACAATGGAGCTGATTGGTTCCAATGTTGCACAGATCTCATCTTTGGCAAGCTTGAAAAGCTGTGACATAAAGGGAATGTTCATTGGCACACATGCCACAACAATTGTGCCCACCACTAGGCGGTACTTCTTGGCTACATCTGGGTGAATATCAGATGAATCCAGCATGTAGGCCTGTCGAAGAATTCGCAAGTACTCCCAGTTGAGGTTGGCAGGTGCATTGGTGAGGTTTAGCAACTCCTGGAACACTGACTGTAAGGTGCGGCCACGTCGTGTCTGCAGGCTGACATCGCGAACCCGGATAGATGCCATAACAGGCAACCCTTGACAAGCCCGAGCAAAATCAGTGAGTTCCCCCTCTTTTGGTTTCCATGGAGATTCACTAATGAGGTCTTGAAGCCCATCCACCACCATACACCGCACTGTGGAGAAAGCTGCATCCAACACAATGTTGTCCATGTCTTCACATGGTATGATAAAACCCTTGGTTTGAGCCTTAGACCAAGCTGAAATGACTCCTGGCTCAGGGCGACAGCTGACTAGTACAGCAAATGCTGGTGGCAGCTCCTGAAGGGTAAGAACTAGCATCATCAAGGATTTGAGTGTCTCCTGATTCCCACACTCATCAAGGCCATCCAAGATGATGACAACACGATCCTTGCCCAAAGACCATATATCCTTCAACTCACACACCGGCTCAATCACCAGAGTCCTCATTTGTTTCTCCAGAGGAAAATTCTGAACTGAGGCCAAAGCTGGTTTCCGAAGGCATCTCACGAGCGACAATTTGAAGTCCTCATTGAAGGATGCAAGTTGGTGGGCAAGGGTAGAGGGGAACTGTTCAATTGAATCCAAGCCCGTTCCACTCTGATTCTTATCCCAAAAGTATGATGCTGCCAGAGTACCCTGCTTCTCAAGAGTGGATGCAACACTCATAGAGATTGCAGTCTTCCCTGTTCCAGGAGAGCCCCTCAACCAAACAAATCGGCTCTCGGTATTCTTCAGGTGCCTGAGTAGGGATTTTCGTATCTTCACCTGCGTCCCAGGAAGACACTCTGATTTGCTGGTCACACACGTGTGCTCAGCTGGGACTTTCTTGAGTCTTGATAGCTCAGCTGGAAGCATCGGTGATTAGACAAGCTATAAGCACACACATAGACACATACATTGAACAGATGAATGCTCGATACGAAGCAGAATTAATGTCCATGATCTCAGCTGCGCAACGTGAGTCAGCATCCGACCATTTGAAAAATCTTCAGCATGCAAACCTCGAATCGATGAATGGCATCATTCAGACAGTTCTTGGTATTGGCTATTTGCTGCGTTATGTCGGACGCCTGAATGGTCTTCTTGACGACATGTTGTTTCTGGACTGATCCAATGATCTCCATTTGTTTTTGCAAAGACCTACGAACAGAATGAGTAACTGTGAACGAAGGGGACGAGGTGCATACACGCAGATTTCCTCCACTAGGGACTTTAGCTCAGGAGGAGTTTCTCCAGTCCATTTTCGGAGGGGCTCAACCACCGATTCCTGTGCTTGCTGAATTACGATGCATAACTGGTTCAGCTCCTCGGTGTTGCCAATGACATTCTACATGGATGAAGCAGGTATGGAGGCGATCATGATCAAGATCAAGACGATTCACAAACCTCATAGATTTGAATGCATCTCAGGAGCGTGTTTGGGATCTGATCGAGATGAGCGATGGGCGCGAACTTCAGACCAGCGGCCGCAGTTTCGAGAAGTAGTTTGGTGGTGCCGATGATCGTTTTCTTCAGATCGCCATCGGATCTACGAGGCACTGATTCCGCTGGCACCGATGAAGTAGTTGGGACTGACGGTCCAGACTCTTGTTGCGTGTGGATGCTCGAGTCATGGTTACCGGTGGCAAGTGCATTGCCGACCATCATTGGTGGGAAATTGGTATTCACTTCGGTGGGAGGGGACAGCGGCGGCCGCGAGTCGTTCGCGGGCGTCTGAACGAGAGCAGTCGACATAAATTGTTTGGATTGGGATGTGCTTGATTGGTTGCGACGGCTGGGAGCGGGACTGGGACTGGGATTTCTCTGAAATAGCCTGGGTAGCTTGTCTCGAGAAGATGTCCGTTGCTCCGTGGTATCGTTCTGTAAGGTGCCACCCGGAAGTAGAAGAGCGGGCGTTATAGTAGCGAGGGCACCAGAATGCAGTCCTGCGACTCGGAGGCTACTATGGTCGTTGTCGTTCCTTCTGTCATGTGCAATGGCAGGCCCGATGATCTGGTTGTTGGAGGCGGGTGGAGTTGAGACCTGCGACCGATTATCAGGAGGCTGAGAAGGGTGCTGGCGCTTCTTGAACCAGGAGGGAAAGCGGCGAGATTTAGGATCACTGGGCATGGTGTAGGTGCGGCTAGTGATCAGAACGGTGTGAGTTGAAGGGGGCGTTTGGCAGCACGGCGCCCGGCTACTCTCATATATGTATCAACTAGAGGTTGCTCGCCCTTAATGAACGTTACGGGAAAGGTAAAGTGAACTGCCAGTAGTAATCAGTGAATCAATCGTTCTCCTCCCGCTTGGAAACCACCACCCACGTGTGCCCTGATAAACAGCCTCAAGGTTTAAACTAATGTCTGAAGCTGGATATGCTGTGGCCTTTGTGCTACATAGTTCTCTGGTTGATGAGATCGGCATCACGCCATCATTCCAGATGCTTCAGCTGCTTCTCCAGCGCGATTCGGGTGAAAAAGGAACAGCCAAGCCACACATTACTAATGTACCCCCCAATTCCGCCCCCCACGATCCTCTCCACACTCCAATCTCCTGCACAGTCTCGGCCAAGTGCGCTCATTCCCATCTGCATATATATAGTACCTCACCCAAATTTCCACATATCGTCCGAATAACAACGGGACATCACTGCTATTCTATAATGGGGGTTTGGTCTTCGGAGGCGCCCATTAGAAGCTCACTCCTTTTCGGGCTGAATCCTGTCATATTTATCGCTTCCCTTTCCCACAGTCGCTTCATCGTTTCTCCAGCCACTCGATAATCCCTGTTCCTAGTCCGTGGTACAGAACCTACATAGTGTAACTCACTGAGTTCCAAACGCATCATCAGCACGTGCCTACTCCGATGATAAGTGCCGCTGCTAGTCCCCATGCGTAAAAGCTCTCATCAGGCGCAGTACGAGGCGCATTTGTGGCGCTTGGATCCGCTGCTGGCCAGGTTAGAAAGCTTTGAAGCTAGCTCCTATCTAGGTCATTGCTCGGTGGTTAGCATGTACGGGACCCTTGATGCCAACATATATACAATATATGCTCCGTCAGTTATGCATGCCGTGTGAATGAATGGAATTTGAGCTTTTCTTACACAAAAACTGACAAACAGAACGTGTTAGGATTAGGGGTGCCACGGTCCGGTTCGGTTCGGTCTTTGAGTGATTTTTCGAGGACCAGAACCGGGACCGTCCCAAATTTCGCTGTCCTGTCGAACCAGGACCAAACCGTAGGCGAACCAAACCGAACCGCGGTTACAGTCCTGGGACCGTTCAGTTCGGTCCTGAGACCGTCCCGGAAATCTTATTATGAAGAGAGTGTGTACGATAGTATGTATAGTGGGAACTAGTACTATCAACTGAGCATCAAAACTCAAGATCTATTCCTTCTCTCTCCGCACGATCCAAGATAAAATTTGCCTCAAATTCCCGCCACTCTTGAACCTTCGCTTCCTCTGAAGCCTTCCTCTCCTTGTCTTCCTTAAGGCGATTCCGTTGTATGTCGGCTTTGGCGATCTGGATAGCACCGAGATGCAGAGGGGTGAGACGACTCCGGGTGTCGCTGTCAGTGTGTTTTGCGGCAGAGAATGCCCTTTCACATGGGACAGAAGATGCGGGGACCGAGAGTATGTCTTGGGCAATGGACCTGAGGACTGGATATGTTTCTGGGAATCAGTATAGGTTAGTTCAGCAAACAATACTTACCATCCAGAAGTTGAGGATGTCGGTGCCAGGTAATTCAAGTGGATCACTAAGATAGCATGTGAGCTCTGCACCAGGATCGTCACTAACTATTTCTTGAGCTTGTCGAGCTTGACTGGCTGCAAGACGGCGAGAAAGACCATAGGGTATTTCATCAGTCAAGGGAGTGGTTGCTATAGATACAACATCGCCTCCAATCATCCTGGTTCCATTTGAGGCAGTGGACCGAGTCATGTAGGTAGAATGATATTCAATAAACTTGTAGTCATCAGTGACAGCAAAGCTCTGAATGTTCGGAGTAACATACAACATTCCGGACACTTTGCATCGCAGTCCATTTGTATTGTGGTGCAAAATAATGGTTGATATAGGAATTTTTTGTCATCGGATCTGTCACGACCTGGCATTCCCCGGAGTCAGACGACCTCCTCCCCGACCTTCTCCCATGCCTGAACACTCCCCACACACTCCCCGCCACTTCTCCATGACCCCTCTCCTAATTGTCATTGAACAACCTAGCGGTGCAGAGCACCGCAACCTTCTGTCCCATGTTTCACCGCACCCTGTTATCTTGCAGCGAAGGTCACGTTCGACCTTCGCTGTCTTGAACACATGTTCCTTGTTTGTTTTCCTTTCTCTTTTCTCCGCCCGCAATCTCCATGAGATCTGGCGACTTATTCTCTATTCAGTTCCCTAGCACTTATATACAGCTTGTAACTAGTGCTTGTACTGTAGTTCGAAATCAACTAGAAATTCCCCCCTAAGCTTACTTCTGTTCCCTGTAAGACCTCCGACCTTCTGAAGTATCAGGACCACGTCGAGAATGAGGCACACAATGCTCCTCCTCGAGTCGTTGAAGCCGAAATCCTGGCTCACTCGCCTAAGTAGCCTTGGCCTCGAGATCGGTGAGGTTATTCCTCGCTAAAGCTCGGTCGTGTGTAATGCCGGTATCACTAGCAGCCAACGTTCAGTCGCCTACAGCTACCATCAGCAAAGCTTCGCACAGTTCTGACAGGATCAAGAACTAGATAGAGTGTAGGCAATAAGTAGATGTTTTGATTTATGCAAGATGTTTCATACCTGTGCTGAGAACGGCAAGAGGTGACATGTCCATTTCATCGTAATATTTACCCATAATAGCAATGCCAGCATTGAGTGCATCATAGATGTAGGTATATTTCGGGTTTTTTCACATCCCCTCCCAAGTTGTAATCAGCCCCTCATAGACTGAGAGTAAGTATGGAGCACTTGAAGCCTTCGAAGTCCCGGAGAATGATTGTTGGGCATGACCCGCAACCAAGAGTTGCTATGTGTGTTTAGCAGAGAAAAGTGGTGGGAGCATACCTTGAGCACGTCTCTGATTATTTCCATCATATTCCAATCATTATCGCTGAACACCCATGCACTGTATTTAGGTGTACGACCCTTTGCCTTTGGTACGGAGTCTTTGCGGTCAGCATGTTCAATGAAATGCATAATAGCCTATCATCAGAAAAGCAAGGTTATGAGAGAATAACTTGATAACTTAAGGTAACGTCGCACTGGCCGCAATTCAATAAATCGGTTCAAAAGGATCAACCATGACCCCCAGTGTGTTCCCATACATCACGAGTTCCAGTGGTTTAATGGATACCTTGGCACAACATTCTCTCAAATAAAGTTTTGTGCCAGGCAACTTTCGGATCTGTTGCAATTGTATGTCAGAATGGGATATTGTCACAGTAGAATCATACTCACATGAACAATTAGGGCCCGGATGCGGGATAACAATGGCCCGATCAAAGTGCCCCCATCCATAGGAATCTCAAGTCCGCTTGTGGCCAGCTCAATCTCATCATCATCACCAGTATTGCCACCGAGAGTTTCTACAAAACCATCAGTATTGCCAGTGAGAGCACAAATAAACACTTGTTGTGCTAAGTTGACAATATGGGCCATGCATCTAGATGATGCACTAACTACGTAAGCTGAGAGTTCAGCATGACAAACATGACAAACCTAACATGGTAATGGCTTGCATCCCATCGTGTGTTGTGTTCCTCACTAAGAATCTCACTCATGACGTGCATTGCTGCATCATTTGTTGATGCATTGTTGGATGTAATGTACCCAATATATGAGGTAATTACGTTGAATGATTAGTATCAAACTTGGATGAGTAGAGAATTAGTTGAACACTTGGCTTCATCATTGGTACCATTTTAGTGATCTCTGCCAACAATTTATTCGCAATATTTTCGCCTGTGTGAGGTCCATCAAGCTCACGGAAGGACATTAGCTCAGAGTGGACATTCCATTTGGTGTCCAAGAAGTGACATGTTGTACCAAGAAAACCCCTCATAGTTGCAGAGGTCCATGCATCGAAGGTGAAGTGAACAAGGCCAGGTGCTTCCTATAATCATATAGTAAATATCTATGAGTGACTCCCATGCGGTGATGACATACCTGAATTTTACTCTTCAAGTTTTTTGTGACAGTTTCTGCATGTGCAAGAACAAGTTGCGTCATTTTTGTTCTGTGAGGAAGGTCCTTGTCCTTGTAGCGTGATGTAGTGCTGAGGCCCCCATGTGCCTGGAACTTCATTAGCCCACGAAATGATGCTGAGTCAACCAAATCAAAGCCCTGTTTGTAGTTGATGTCAGTTGCCATATAGCCAAAAAGCACACTTGCCAGATCATGCTCGATGATTAGGTCCTCGACCCAATGCAGCAGGCCTTCCACAGACCATGGTTCCTCATCGTCAGCTGGGCAATAGAAATGTGTGATTCTTTGTTGGCTTTTCCTGTGATACATGAGGGATTAGTGCTGAAATGAATTGGAATTCAAACACTCACTCGCTTGCAACAAGAGCTTGCTTTTGCTCCAATCTTACAGCATCAGGAATTGCTCTATTGTCAGGTGGGATCCCAAGGGAGTTGCACTGCTTCTGTCAGAGACCAGGTCGAGACGAAGGAGTGTCTCCGTGACGGAGGGCTTCAGCCTCAGCGACTTATGCCAGGAGCGCTGTGCCTAGTAAACACGTCCGTGCCCTAACTTACTAACTGGCCACCAGAACTGAAGAGGGTAAACTCTAGTCGATTTTATTACTGGAGTGTAACCTATGTACAAGTTAAGTATATATAGTTACAGCGAGGGCGGGTCCGCAAATGGCGGAGCCGAGCTAACGGGGTTTAGACATTAGCCAATTGAATATTACCGATGAGTCGGGTTACGGGGTTAGCAGAAAGGCAGGCAATAACCCAGAAACGGAAAGGAGGGATAGGCCCGAAGGTGGGCTTTGCAGGGCAAGCGAGTGTATTGTCCAGCGGAGGCGGGGGTGCGCTAGCGGACATCGGAGCTGTCCGGAAGCCTTCAGGGCTCCGTACTTAGGGAGGTGTAGGTAATAAATTGAAAGGAGGGGATGGTGACCATCGAGGGGTACTGAGGGGATTGCGGAATACGGGAGCTCCGAGGTTAGTGAGGAAGGAGCGGAAGTAAACCGGAGGAATCGGAGGGATCGGAAGTCGATGGCCGGGGATGGATATGACAGCTTCAGATAGAGCTCCCAGTGCTCTCCCCCACTATGGGAAATGTGCCTGCGAAGTGTGCTGGAGCCGGAACCAGCAGAAAAGTGTGGTGTCAACTGTTTTGATTGTCTCCCTTTGTCATAAGCCGATCTTTTGTGTGTAAGTGATCATTTATTAGTGGATTGATAGATATTGAGACTTACTGGCATACTTGACATACCCGATAGCTCTCTTGCCCATCCTGGATGACCTCAGTAAACACAGTTTCGAGGTCTTGCAGCTGCCATGCTTTCCAAGGGCTTTGTGTCAGGGCAATAGCCCCGAACCCCGAGTCACATGTAAACTAGATAGATATAGTCACGTGGACAAGCGGGAACCTCCGGGGAACCGCTTACACACCACCGTAAAATACATCATCTTGTATCACTTACGGCTTTGTGTGCTGAGCAACCCCAAAGACCTCACACTTTTTTAAGTGCATGAGGTGTGTTTTACAACACAACCCACAACTATAAAATCTCAACATCTGATTCGGAAGCGCTTATGGCGCCTAAACACGCCCGCAAGGGCAAGGTCGCATCTGCAGCGACGTTAAAAATAAGCGAGCGGTTTATTAAGAAACCGCAATCTCCCATCATGGGAGATTCAAACCAAAAGCCATCGTCAGATGACGACGAGGATCAACGCGATCCGGGAAAAGCAACCACTTCAGGGCTGGTCCCTGAAGACTTTAGAAACTTACGTGGAGTAAGTGCGGGGCAAAATACCCCCAGAACTCCACAACAAACCGATCTAACCCAAGCTGGGGAAGATCCCTTACCTCCCCACGAGGTAATCGACTTGCGCGAAAAACGCGTAAGCGCCGAACGATCAGCCCAAAAAGCTGATCGGATAGAGCCGCAGGAAACCCCAGGGCCCCACTATCCCCTAGAGTTCCCAATCACGTCCCCAAGTCAAGCCCTAAAGGCAGACAAAGGGAAACAAAGGGAAGAAACCCCGCGTCGGCTATCCGAAAAACTACTGGACTTGTTCCAGGTTCCGTCCGAATGGAGGACGGAAAGTGAAGATCAACTTCTTCTCAGGCTGAAAGCCCGAGAAGGCGCGAAAATACGCCCTGAGAGCAGGATCTCTCAGAGCGCGGAAGCTCCAAAAGAGCCTCTGCTGTTTACACCCCCACGCACCATGCCAGACAAGGCAAGGTCGCCAACTTCGGAGGAGGTCTCCGAGATAATGAGGAGGAGGCGAACTGAAATGAGGGAGTTCGCTGAGGAAGCCTTACGTAAAAATAAGGAGAAACCAGCGAACAGACCCCTCTATGAAAGGGAAGCACCCTCCGCAACGGCCTCGCCAAAACAAAGCGAGCGTGGAGTGTTCACTCCAAGAACCCATTCTGGAACTCCCAGAAGCGGAAATGTCAACTGGGGAGAGTCACTGCTCGCCCAACCAAACTTCCTCCTGGAAAACCAGGAATCGCGCATAATAAACGCGATAAACTCGATCCAGAAAAAGATCGAGGAAACGAACCATAATAGCACGGCTCGTCTAGAGATAACTCTAGAAAGAATGGCCAACGCAATCGACGCGTTGACAGAAAAAATCAGCGAACAAACAGATTTGCTGAAGGAAATAAACTCCTCACAAAAAAGTGAGGAAACAAATAAACACCCCTGGACCACGGTCCAGGACATAAATAGAACTCGTGAAAAATTCACGAAAAGAACCACCAGTGAAAGCACACTGGAATATCACCAGCGACTCGACAGAGACGCTAAGGAGATCCTTCTCCCAAGGATAGGAGAAGACGATGCCGAGAGAAGACATCGTTCAGAGATCAGAAGGAGAATTGGCACGTACCAAAGGTTCGGCCAAACATCCAATTATGACGGACCTCTCGAACAGAGAGGTAACGCATTCATACCCTCTCAAAACAATGAGAGAATACAAATACAACTTCAGGCGAATTCGCCTGAAACCAAAGAAATGCTGCGAGAAAGATTCCCCCCAGCAAAAACCCCCCAAAGGAGAGATCTCCATTGGACAGCGACCCCGCAAAGGCAGGGGAGCAAGAAGAGTACCTGGAGAAATGGTACGAAAAGGCCATAAGAATGGCCGAAGTGAGAATACTCACTCCCTACCCAGAAGGAGTGAAGCCAAAAGCCCTAAAGAATGGGCCGGCATTCCCTGACAAGAAATGGTCAGGGGAGAACGACATGGAATCGTTCTGGCAGTGGTTCACAGAACTACTGGGATTCCTCGCCTCGCGAGGATGCAAAGGTCCCCAATTCGACGAAGTCCACCTGGACTGCTTGATTCGTGGATTAGGGGGACCCGCATTTGACCTCGGAATTAGACTCCGAGACGAAACTCTCCTCAGAGGAGACGAGGGCATGTTCCTCGAGGTTCTCAACATATTGATGAGAACCTTCATCAAAGCCTCCGCCGCGTTGAACGCGACAAAGAAATACCGCAACGTCAAATACGAAGCGGAAAAAGGCCTAAAACAGTTCTACTTAGAACTGTCAAAAGCAGCGTCCCAAATGGTGACGCCGCCAGACCAGGCGTCCTTTAACGCCAGGTTCTTAAACTACATTCCCCTCGAATGGAAGAGGGAAATGATTGCTCATGATAGAATCAGAGCAGACTTCTCCTCAAACGAGGAGATGTTAAAAGCAATATCTTGTGTAGACGAGATAATTGACGGGCTGAAGATGTCTTCAGCCTACAAATCAGGGTACTATACCCGAACAACCACCACGGCAACAACGAGCCGCGGCAAAGCCCTCCCGTCAGGAAAGAAAGCGGAAGAGCTGAAACCCAGATGGAAAGAGGATACATCCTCGAAAAACTCGAGGAAAACTGACCAAAAGTCAGTTCCAATTTGCGGCAAATGCGGCAAAATAGGGCAAACGAAAGATTGCCCAAGACACAATATAATGAGCGATGAAAAACCAAGGCGTATAGCTGCCATGGAAATCGCGAACTCAACAGATGAAGAGTCAAAAAGCTCATCAGATGAGAAACCAGAGAACAACTCTGGTAACTCCGAAGCATCAAGCTTCGAAGTGGAGGACCCATACGAAGGACCTCAATACTCACCTGACTCAGAGGGTGAGGAAGTCAACGTTGGGACCATAAGAATGGGCCCAATGTCAGTCGTCGACCACGATGACATAAATTATAAAATCAAACTGGCTGTAGCACACCAGTTAGAAAACACGGCAGACGAAAAAGTCGCCGAAGCCTTGGTGGAAGCACCAAGAAAAGACGCCTTGGGGAAATACACCAAAGTACCCAAGGAAAACAAGGACAAAGGGAAGAAGGACCAAAAGTCCATCGAAACCCAGTCCCCTTTATTTGATGCGAAATTCCGCATCTCAAAAGACGCGGGAAAATACCCCGTAAACAGACCGCTCTCAACAAAGAGAACGCTAACGGCTCACATAAAAATAGCAGGCATAAAAGCCTATGCGCTATTCGATAGTGGAGCCGAAACGGACGCTTTATCGCCGGACTTTGTCCGCGCGGTCCACATCCCAATCCTTCAACTGGAGAAC